TGTAAAGATTGCAAAAAATATGACCTGAAATTTTAAAGCTCGCACGGAGGACTAAGTCAGGTTTGAAAAATAAGAAGAATAAAATAAGAAAAATAAGAATATAAGAATAAGAAGAATAAGAATAAAAGAATAAGAATATAATAATAATAATAATAAGAAGAAGAAGAAGAAGAAGAAGAAGAAGAAGAAAAAGGAAGAATAATAATAAGAATAAGAATAAGGAAGAAGAAGAATAATAATAAGAAAAATAATAAGAAAAATAAGAAGAAGAAGGAAGAAGAAGAATTAGAATAATAATAAGAAGAATAAGAATAAAAAGAATAAGAATACTAAAAATAAGAAGTATAAAAATAAGAAGAAAAATACGAAGAATAAGAATAAGAAGAATAAGAATGAGAAGAATAAGAATATAATAATAATAATAAGAAGAAGAAGAAGAAGAAGAAAAGGAAGAAGAAGAAGGAGGAAGAAGAAGAAGAAGAGGAAGAAGAATAAGAAGAAAAAGAATAAGAATAAAAAGAATAATAATAATAATAGAAGAAGAATAAGGAAGAAGAATAATGAGAAGAATAAGAAGAATAAGAATAATAAAAATAAGAAGAAGAAGAAAAATAAGAAGAATAAGAAGATGAATAAGGAAGAAGAATTAGAATAATAATAATAATAATAATAATAAGAAGAAGAAGAAGAAGAAGAAGAAGGAGAATAAGAAGAATAAGAAGAAAAATATGAAGAATAAGAATAAGAAGATGAATAAGGAAGAAGAATTAGAATAATAATAATAATAATAATAATAATAATAAGAAGAAGAAGAAGAAGAAGAAGAAGAATAAGAAGAAAAATATGAAGAATAAGAAGAAGAAATGAAAAGGAAGAAGAAAAATATGAAGAATAAGAATAAGAAGATGAATAAGGAAGAAGAATTAGAATAATAATAATAATAATATGAATAAGAAGAAGAAGAAGAAGAAGAATAAGAATAAGAAGAAGAAGAAGAAAAAATATGAAGAATAAGAATAAGAAGGATAAGAATAAGAAAAATAAGAATATAAGAATAAGAAGAATAATAAGAAGATGGAATAATAATAATAATAATAATAATAATAATAATAATAAGAAGAAGAAGAAGAAGAAGAAGAAGAAATAACCGTAAATTACCAAGCAAACATACTGAAAAATTGTCTTCACCTGAAATGCACAATATCTTAGAAAATATGACATATTTTCATTCATCTTCAATTTTCAAATCAATAAACAACAATATACCAATTAATTTTTAAACATTTACTTTTAAAATAAACTCTTATAATTTACTAGTCATAATAATGCTATTTTACTACAAACAACAAGCCGCATTTTGGATCAACTCAATAAATATGAAGGCTGATACGACAGTGGTTGCAATACAATCAAAAGCGCCTTTTTAAAAATGAAGTCAATATAACTAAACAATTTGATTGCTATCTAATGACAAAAATAAAATGTGGGGTTATCCAGCCGTTTAAATCTTCTATGTCCCGTGTTCTTAGGTGGTTATGGCTCTCCACAATTTCCTGCTCTTTCTAGCTCTTAATAAATTCTGTGTTTTTGCTATCTCATAAATCTTGAAACCGTCATGCATTTAATCAAGCGCATTAAGTAGATTGTACGTTGTTTTCTTCTCTTCCCCATACCTTCAAACTGTCTTGTGAGTATCAGATTTTCCAAGCCCTTATTCCTTATTATGTGGCCTAGAAATATCAACTGTCTCTTCCTGATGTTAAGCATAAGTGACCTTTTTCTTTCTACTTTTTCTAAAACTTTGTCGTTGCTCAAATGTTCGGCTTTTACAAAATATTTCAATTTAAATTATTTAGTATAATATAAAATGTGCATACAATTAAAAAAAAGCATTTTAATTTGTTAATTGCCAGTGATGTCGAAAACGAGGCAATCTCATTATTATTTTTATTGATTTTACTGCATTTTACCATGGAATTGTTATACAATTATTGTACCTTCCGTATGTTCTTCCGTTGTGTCTAAGTCTGCTGAGATGCTACAATATCCAAAGCACTATAGATAATAACGATAAGTAGGACTTTCTGTTTGTTTCTCTGTCCGAAATAATAGATTCGACCATTGCTGGGTAAATATTAACAATCTGGTTTCACTAATAAGTGAGTAATAAAAAAAAAAAAAAAAAAAAAAAAACGTTACAATAATAACACGAGGAATTTTCGGCAGCCGTTGAAGCGTGGAAACGTCATGTTATAATAATAATAATAATTCTTTTTTTAATTAAAAAATATAAATTCCAGGACAGACCTCGTATATTAACCTTCACGAATAGATTTATAACTGAAATAACAATTGTTTCAAACTAAATTTTAAATAATTTATTTTCAACTTATTTAGTATTATAAAGTTTACAAAATTCCTTACTTGCCCATACGTCGGTTTGTGTTTAGCAAATTTAAGACCGACAAGAACCTCTACCAACAATATAAACATTATTCTACAAAGGATTCAGATTATTATTATTATTATTATTATTATTATTATTATTTCCTTTGATTTCTGCTATATACGCATTTCTTTCCTAATATAACGCAAGCAATCATGAGTCAAAGATCCTTTGAACAATTCTTACAAGTTTTACGCCCCCCCCCCAAAAGAAATCACTTGTACGAATACAAGAATCCAACAGATTTAAGTGATAAAAATCATTAATTCCCACAGCTTTTATCATATAAAACTGTCGGATTAAAAAAAAACCATTACTTCTTTAGAAAATGCTTTGTTTACGTTAGGATACGAAACTGAGTAGATGTCGATGTTTCGAGAGAGTGAGAAAGATTTGTTTTTAAGGTACTATTCGACTGGTTACTACTACTACTACTACTATTATTATTATTATTATTATTATTTCTTCTGTGCCGTCTTCCTTCAGGACGCTGGTGATTATGACACTCCACGATTTCCTGTCCTTTGTAGCTCTTAACAAATGTTGTCTTTTCTCTCTTTAACCTTGCTTCACTATCCAATGAATCAAGCTTGTTATACTCTGTTTTCCTCTGTCCCTCTGGCCTTTAATCTGTCCTGTGAGTACCAAATTTTCCAAGCTCACTTTCCTCATTATCTGCCCTATAAATTTCAGCTGCTTATTCCCGCTGTTAAATACAAGTTTTCTTTTTGTTTCCATTTTCTCTAAAATTTCTTCGTTACTCACATGTTCGGTCCATGGTATTCTCAGCATCATTCTGTAGATCCGCATTTCTGCTGCTTCAAGTCTCTTTTTTATCTGTGAGGACATTGTCTAGCATTCCCTGTCATATAGGAGGACTGATATTATATAACAGTTCAATACACTTTCTTTCCTTTCAAACATTTTTTTTTTATTTCTTAATACTTTGCTTAGCTTTTGAAAGACGTCTTTCGCTAACATTATGCGCCTTCGGATTTCGGTGTCGCGCTTTTTGTCCTCTGTTAAAACACTTCACAGATATTTACATTGTTGTACTTGTTTGATTTTGATATCTTCAGTTTATAATGTTCGTGTTGGTCTCTTCCTTTTGCTAACGACCATATATTCTATCTTCTTTTAGTTGATACATAGTCCTTTCTTCTCCCTTTCTTTTACTACCTTCTGTTTGAGTTCTATTAGTATCTTTTCTATGTCTGCTATCAACACCGTGTCATCTGCATATCTTATGTTGTTATGATTGTGACCGCCAATAATAAATCCTGGTAGGACTTCTAGTTCTCTCATAATCGCATCGCTGTATAGTTTAAATAAGTCCGGTGAGAAGACATATCATTGTCTTACATCACTTTCTGTTTTGGTATATTTACTGAACTCATATTCTGTTCATATGAAGACTGTTTGCTATAGGTTCTGGATTATACTAACATCCTTCCCAAATATATCAAGGTTATCTAGCAATTCCAGCAATTCTTTGTGGCGTACCTTTATCAAACGCTTTTACATAATCTATAAAATATAGGCACACCTCCTTCTACATTTGCATGCACCAAATTTTCCTGGATTTCAGTTAAAGAAATATGGTTACTGAATGTAATCATTCAAAATTTTTGTGATGTCAATTATGAACACTCTCACAACGTGCTTATTGTGTTCGGAAAATAAAACATTTCTAATGACATAAAAAACTCTACATATTCAGACAAAAATATCCTTGATAATGTCTAAAAGATTAACGGAAGCCGCTCAGATCAAAAGATCCTTTGAACAATTCTTAAAAAGTTCTATGTCCAAAAAAAGAAATCACTTGTACGAAACAAGAATCCGACAGATTTAAGTGATAAAAATCTTTAATTCTCACAGCTTTTATCATATAAAATTGTCGGATTAAAATTACTTACATAATAATGTAATCATTCAAAATTTTTGTGATGTCAACGAATACTCGTTGTCACTTTCGTAATGCTCGTTGTAGAAGTTGCAATATATAATCGCAGATACAACTATAGTAACGCTGTTGAACAATACTAGTGTCAGACGCCTTCGAATAACACTCGCACTAATAGTACTTGCTCGAATATACTCGCTCGTAATCTGTACAGAGATTAGTGTAGAAAAAAGAATAGCGATTCGAATAGTAATAAAGGATAGACTAGAGATAGCGATCGTTAATTGTCGCGATACTTTCTACTTCTTGTCTCCATATCTGTTATGTTAAAACATTTCGTCTTCGCTTGAAATAAAATTGGTAAATGTTTCAGACAATAAAAGCAAAAATGTGTGCAGAGTTTAAAAAAAAAAAATGGCAATCCTTTTTGTTTGGTTTGGAGAAGTTTATTTTGATATGGCGTATTTTCTTTTCACTCCCTCCAACTCCTCCCCTTAAACTACACCCCCCCCCCATTCGATTCCGATTTTCTATTCTTCGTTTCCCGTTTTCCTTGTTTAGCAAAAGTAATTGCTTTTATTGCCGCGTTTTTCTTGTCACTTGCATTAGTATTTCGGTTTGACTCGGGCGTCGATTCCGTGCTGACCGATGACCCAGATTAAATCAATCAATATTCATCTCCCCTCCCCCTCCACTGTCTCGCACACACTCTTTCGCCGCCTACCCCACTCTCTACAGAAACCTTGTCCCCGGTTCCTGTGGGCAGTTCCAGCCTACAATCGCAGATGATTATAGCCCCCGATAAAAAATACGGAACGCATCCTGTCAAAATTGGTCCATCCACTTAGTTGCTGAGAGAAAATGGCCGACGATTCATCGACTGTCTTTTCTTCTTCTTCTTCTTCTTCTTCTTCTTCTTCTTCTTCTTCACCACCCCAACCACTCAATTTCAACCCCCGCAGTCCCTTGACCCTCATTTGAATTCCCCTATCCAGCCTGTTGTCACAACAAAATATCAACCCTCTCTCTCTCTCTCTCTCTCACTCTATCTATCTATCTATCTATCTATCTATCTATCTATCTATCTATCTATCTATCTCCCTTTAGTGTTTTCAGTCACAAACCTTCTATTGGCAGAGTCAGGTTTTTGGCATCATTATTTTCGACATGGGTATTTTTCTTCTAATTTTCTGCTCGACCCTACCCCCCAACCCGCCAACAATTTTCTTCAGGTAAAGAAGCTTATCAGATTCGATTCTCTTCTCCTTTTGTCGAAGAGTGGAATTGCCAAAATATCTATTGAGTGTGTGGCGGGGGGGTCAAAGAAAAAGGAAATAATGATCTCGTGGCCTTTTACCTTTCTCCATATTCTATTTACCTATTTCCAGCCGATTTACACTTACCTCTGTTATTTTTGTTATTTGTCAGTGTGTGTGTGTGTGTGTCTGTATACGTGTATGTGTGTGTTTGCATCTCTATGTGGATGAGTCCGTATGCATATACATGGGTTTTTGTGTGTGTGAGTTTATCTGTGTATTTGTCAGGCTGTCAAACTACTGAGATTGTCAGCGTCGCCATCTTACCTTTCTACGTTGTTTAATGCCTTCATTTTATCAAGCTACGATCTATACACTCAGGCATGGAGCCGAAAGTAGCTGAGTTGATTGAATAAATCAATTATAATTATAAGAATAATGATACGAGTCCTGATGAAGAGAGTATGAAGAAGAATTAGATTGGAAATAGAACAAGAACGGTGTGGCTTTGTCATGGACACTGGAACAAGAAATGTGATATTCATGATTACAATGATATCAAAGCGAGAACTACAAATGCAGAAGGATGTGCACTTATGCTTTATAAATTATGCAAAAAGCATTTGATGAGGTACAGTACAAAGATCTATTTGGAAATGTTAGAATAAACCTGGGAGAAAACCGATAGAAAATAAATTAAGTAGCTATACAAAGGTAGAAAGGGGCGTGAGACAAGGATATGCCTTCTTCCCAGATTTATGCAATATCTGCAGCGACACTATCCTAAGAGAACTGGAGACCCTAGCAGGATTTATTATTAGCGAGCGCAGTGTTAATATTATACGATATGCAGATGACACTGTGTTCATTTGGAAGGAAAACGACAGGACCTCCTAGACAGATTGGTTGAAGAAAGCGCGAAAAGGAATAATCAACTTCAAGAAGGCATAAACTCTGGCCATCTGCGAGAGAAAAACCTCAAGATACAATTTCCGAATTGGAGATATAAACATCAAGCAGGTGCAGGGGTTCATGCATACGGACCAGGGACAAAAATTGCCCAATTCCCGCGACCACTGGTCCCGCTGGCACCAATATTACACCGACCGCCACCTCTTTTTGTACATTCAGGAAGATGCTGCCACAGTTTTGAAATCCCATGAATCGGGCGCCTTCTCCCATCTCAATTGCTGAGAGAAAACACACTACGCTTTCGTCCTAACCAAAAAGTTATTTACCTCATTGCTGTGTTTGTTTTCGGGCAGTTCCTAGAAAAGGTTTGAGGATGTCTAGTTCCTTGGATCTAAACGCTGCAACGACCCATACCCACTTTTCACTGGTGGAATTTCGGCGTCAACGTGACACTGGTCGCGGGGAAAAGGGAACTTTTTTTCCTTGGTTCATATGTAAACGTATGAGCGACCAATATTATAAACAACCTCTTGTCACATCCTACTCATGTGGTGGTGTGTGAGTAAATAGCGCATAAGATAAATCCGTATGAGAACATATTCGTTAAGTAATCGTTATTTGACCATTAGTTAGTTGATCTTCACTGGGTAGCCTTATTCGTGGCATTGTGCCAAAACTTAGTTAAGGTAAGCAATAATAAAGCTGCATTTATTTTATGATATATTTAAATATTTGCGCGGGCACACGGACATACAACCAACGTTATATATATTACATTAATTTTATGGGTTTTTAACGACACATACACAAACATTGAACTTTATATATAAGAAAACTTTGTGAAGAGTCATTAACATATCTGATACTTTTCGAACGCACAAATATCTTTCTTCACATAGAAGGATAGTATTAAAAAGCTTTCGGCTCCAAACACCAGGTTGTTTTTTTTTTTAGAATACCTTCATGATTGGGTCAAAAACTTTTCATATTCATATTCAACGTTGTTCGGAAGATCAAGTATATTCTTTTTAAAAATATATATATATATATATATATATATATATATATATATATATATATATATATATAATTTGAGCCTTTTAAAACCTTTTTATTCTACAATCTACATTCAACATCATCACTTGGTGTTGAAACAAAATGGCTATTTTTGTAGTGATTTTATAACATATTTATGTTATAATTTTTACATAAATAGTTATATTCGCTCTACTCTGTATTGAGCACTTTTTAAGAATAGTAATTGTTGGTTATTGGAATTCATTCCGTATACACCAATCATATATTTGGATATATATATATATATATATATATATATATATATATATATATATATATATATATATATATATATATAATGCAAAATATACTTGAGCTTTCGAATAGCGTTTAATATAGATATTTCTTTTGCTTATTTATGTACAAAGTATATTTGATTCACTTTTTTCTTGGTTTGGGGGTTTGTTTTTCATAAACTTTGATCTTCAAACATTGAAATGCACTGCTAATCGTTGCATTCTGTCTTCTTAATTCTTGTTCATTTATTGTTCTCTCTCCCTAATAATGTTTTTCTCATAGTCTCTAACACTCAATAACCCCCTTGCATCTTAGGAGGCACGTTGGAATAATGGATAACGGCTCGTATTAAGGAATCGGTGAGCTGCGTTTGAATTCCGGTCGGATCCATTACATTCACTTACTTGCTAAAACACTTGGGAAAGGTATGTATCATCTTCTTCTCCCCCTTCCAACTATGGGTAAATAGCAGGACAGACCAGGTTCTATAGCCTTGGATGGCAACTGGTCTACCGCAGAAAGAAATGACAACCTCCTGCGGGAAAAAAATCTGCTTCGTCAGTTATATATCAAAAGATACATGATCGCCTAAGCGTGTATCACGCTGGGCACATAATTGACTGATATTTATTTATTATGTCATATTCTTTAACAGATATTTTTCCTGATAGCACTTCCATATTTATGAGAATTATTATTATTGCTTTCTTCTATTTTTTTTTTTTTTTTTTTTAGAGATTCTTCAGGCTTTCAGCTAGACACTGATATATTTTCTCTCTTTTATTCATTTTTTTTTTTCTGAAGAAACAATCCCTCTCCAAATTTGGCTCTCTCTTTGCCTTGTTAACAATAATCACATCCACTTTCTTTGCTTGTATGGGATTGTCTGGCTGAATCTCAAAATTCCAGATATTTTATTTTTTTTTATTATTTGAGACGGACTAAATTTCTATTCTTAATCATTTCTCTAAACAATCGAATCTAACTAGATTATATAACTATCAGCGTATCAGCATTGCTACCCTGTCATATTTGCTTGTATGGGGATTTTGACCAAGATTATTATTATTATTATTATTATTTTAGCACGTAAAAAAGTAGGATATTTAATGTAACCCATCTTAATGCATCAAGATAATGTACATATTAACACCGCCAATCAATTAGGATCAGAAGCCATGACAGCTCACTTTTGATAGCATCAGGGCATTTATTATTATTATTATTATTATTATTATTTCCTTTGATTTTTGTTGAATACAAATTTCCTTCTGGAATGGCTGAATGACTTTTTCCACTGATCATTTTTGTAAAAAAAAAAAAGAAAAAAAAAAGGTAATAAACATTTTATATACAGGAGATAAAACTCTTCATAATGTGTGAGCTGTACTTGTAAATACAATTTTTTGTATTTCTTTAAAGCATGGGCTACCAGGAATCCTTTCTATGAGTCTATCGGAAGCTTTTTCCAATCAGCCTGAGGGCTCCAACTACAACAGTTATTATTGATGTCTTCATATGCCCCATTTTTTGAGATTTTCACTTCAAGTTCCTTGTATTTTGATAGTTTTATGAACATCTTCAAAGATATACTACAATCTGCAGGGACTGCCATGTCAATAAGAAAGTATTATTATCATTATTATTATTATTATTATTGTTGTTGTTGTTGTTGTTGTTATTGTTGTTGTTGGTATTTCATGCAGATCTCTGGTGATTATCGTTGAAGGAGACAAAATTCAAATCTCAAATCTTCTAAGTAGTATTCTCTCCTGTGCTCTGAACAATTTAACTCATTTAATCTCATTTCTAGTGTTTATAAAATATACCCAAGTGTTATCATTATTATTATAGGTGGGAATGTAACAATTATGTCCTTCTAGGAATATTCTCAGTGATATGACAACAATTGACAAAATTATCACATTCATTCTGCACATTATTTAGTTCAGTGGCAGGGTTCAGTTTTTCGCTATTAATTTCACCGACATTCACTATCTAGCAGGCTATCTTTAATTTCCTGGATCTGGATTGGAAGATCCGTCTGAATTTCAATGTCCCCAAATATGTTTTTACTCTCTGTGCCATCGGCTTGGTTTTATATATAACATTAGTCTATATAGTCAAATCCCTTTCATTTGCATAGTTTCAACAGAATTACCCTATACGTCCATTCATGTCCACTTCTATACTTTTTAACCAATTTGCTGCATTCGTTTCTTACTTTATGTCTTCACATTTTGCATTTGAAATTTTCTTGCATCTTCTTTACTTTGGCCCTCATAAACTTAGTGCTTCTGGCTTAATTCTTGACCTTTATTCAAATTTCCTTCTATTCCTTGACCTTTATTCCCCTCTTTCTAAGTGTTCTCTTCCTAAGAAATGCCTGTATTTTTCATTTGAAATAGCCTATATTTCTCTCTTAAAAGGTCTGTACAGTTGATTTCCTTACAATCTTTTTCTAGTTTTGGAGTTTACTGTTCCTCAATTCGAATTTTTCTCGCTCAGCAATGTCTAGGCTATATCTAGTGCATTTTCTGTAGAGAAGTATGTCTTCTATAATATATACTTGCAAACTCGAGCATAAACGCGACCCGAGATTGCGTACAGACTCAAGAATAAAACTGACCAATATTTAGATATAGACTCAAGTATAAACCTGACCAATATTTGCGTATAGACTAAGGCATAAACCTGACCAATGTTTGCGTATATACTCAAGTATAAACCTGACCAATGTTTGCGTATAGACTCAAGTATAAACCTGACCAATGTTTGCGTATAGACTCAACTATAAACCTGACCAATATTTGCGTATAGA